GCCAAAAAAAAAGACATTTTGCCTATGTCGGACTTCGGCTCTTTTTTCTTCGCAGAGATTGCTGTCGTTGACGGGAGTTCCTCAGCAGAGTATTCCCTAAGTGTTCCTCTATAGTGTACGCAGGCCTCTCCTTCACTGCCCTCACCGTCTTCAGAATATGACGTCATCTGTCACCGTCGTCAGGCTCAAGGAGGTCTACCGTAAGAGCTTCAGCCTGAAGCTCTTACGCAATTTCGTGAATCGATTTAATGTTGGATAGTTTTCTAGAGGCATTAGCTACCACTGTGCAAATCCCCTCGGAACTAGCTTTCCAGTAAGGGTCGTTATGGTACACGATCCTTCGAAGACCCCATTGAGATCGACCAGTGCACCATGTTTCCAGGGCTAATTCTTCTGATGCCGTCCACGTACGTGGCCACTATGAAGATTTTCTTATAGAATGGAATGCACTCTTTAATAATAAGTTGGAACCGTTCGGTCTGAGTTGAGTAAAATGTGCTTAAATCCATCTGGAAGTGGAGGCAAAATGTCTTTTTTTTGCCCCCCCCCTGTATAACCAGTGGTGTGTTCGGTTGTTGTGTGTGTGTGTATGTATGTATGTCTGTCTATCCGTCCGCAAAGGGAAGTGAGTGATAAGGCAGCTAAAGGAATAAACAAGCTGTTAACAAATCTGAGTAGCTTGCAGGACTTGCGCTATCAATGTTTTGCAAAAGCATGATTGAATAACAAACCCAGCGGCCACACATAAACCTACATAGCACACTTAGTCATTCCACATGGTTGCTGCAGTGGCAGCTGGAGAGCAGTGGAGGGAAGAGAGGAAGATAGGGAGAGGAGGTGGGGGTAAACTTTTTCTCACAGCGGAAGCCGTAAAGGTTACGTAGCGGAGGTAGGTTCCGGTGGCTGCCGGGGGACCAATCTGGTTTTCATTGAGCCAATCAATCATCCATTAGCATTTTCACTCAAATAAATTTACATGATTTCCGGTTCCAAAAATTTGTGTCAAACAGGCATGAATTTGGCAATGACAGTGCCAAAGATCTAACAAACGAGCTCTCCATGGTCCCAAACAGAGCACATTTCGAATGCAATGGCGTATATGAAGGGATTGATGATGCAGATTAACCTTTTCAAATGAACTGTGCGTTTCGTGTTTCGGAATGTGGGCACGTATAACTCCATCGATTCGAGGAAGCGGCTCGCTTAACCATAGAACGATTACGGTCAGATGCCCTTCCTTGGCCGGCCATTTATCTCATTACGCGAAATGAGATGACGAAATTTTCAGCTCGCCCCGAGAGAACGAAAGCTTGCATTTGACACTGCCGAGACAGTGTGAGACGGCGGGCTGGTATGGTCACGAATACAACATTGCTGAAGCACGGTGACGAGGGCTTCTTCAAATAGCTCCTAGCTTGTTTCCTGGAGTGGAGCGATTGAAGGTGCTCCTAATTTGGTCCAGAACGCAAGGAAGCCACTGCGGTCTGATGATAACACCCTAAACGAGCAGACCAGGAAGGACCTCAACTGGGATCAAAATCCCGCAGGTTCTTCAAACAACTAGGCCAAACAAATCAACTCTATAGCTATGGGAAAAATCTACCTTTGTGGAGCCGTTCTTTGCTACTCTCTAACAACTTCAGTGCGGCCCCCGCGCAGGACTAACAATCAATGGGCAAAAAAACACCGGCTGTTTTTAGAACAAACAACCCAGGCAGTTAGGAAACTCTCGCGACAAAGCTTCAAGTCAAGAGGGATTCGAAAAATCCAAGCTGTAAAAAACCGTAAAATAGTGTTGGCAAGGTCCTGCATTTCATTAAACATGCGTCTTATCACTCTGTTTCAACACTGCCCTTAAACCAGAATGAGCAGGACTCCGATCTCCCGATACGTCAGGTCACCATGGTCGCACGCTCGGTATGGGCCATCATGGGGCAATGGAACCAACTCCAATTACTACTGTCCTTTCATATCATTCAACTCGACCAAAACTTGAAATCACTCCATTTCAAACCAAGTGTGTGGTTCTTCACTGTTGAAATTTTCGAATCGTTCATGAAATTACAGGAAAGCGTCTAGATGAAACCATCAGAAAATATTTCAGAGATCCTTTTATAAACATCTTACTCAGTTTGACAGGGTTTAGACGAAACTTCACTGATCCCGTGCGCGACCCGCTCCACGGGGGCAGTATGACCCATCCGGGAGAATTGAAAAATATATCCAAACGGAACGCTTCAATTATGCAATACTAAAACATTTTTCAACAGATCAGAGACGATTTCGCCCAAGGTCGACGTTCCTAGAGAACGCTCACCCTTGTATGCAACTTAAGGACTTTCTGCAAGAGAAGGAGCAAAATGATGTGGAGCTCAAGCATGAAGCAATAGGTGCTAATTGACCATTAGAAAAGGAATAGAAAGAGAAGGAAAAACTGATCACACAGATTTGGAACTAAGCGTCACCAATTTTTTTCTGGCTCGACCTTTTTCGGCCCAATCTATGACAAAAATTGAGCTCACTATAAGGCTAAGGGAATAGCGTCGGAGGCAAGGGAGCATCGAGGAGCGAGAGATTGCCGAACATACCGAACGTACGCTGCGCGCAGGGAACGTGAGATGCATTCACCGCGCTGAGGTATTCACCGCCCTTACCACCTGTTTTAAATCGTGGAACTGGCATTCCCCCGGCGGTTGTCGACGCAGCTACCGCATCACAGTGGGGTTTCTTCCTATTACCTGATCGCGAATATTGCCTTCAGAGAAGGCTAAACCAGGCAACTAGGGGAAAGAATGATCAGGGTTTGTGCAAAGCATCAATGGCAGACATATGTGACCGTTTCGCAGCGCAGCGATTAACTTTTAACCCAAAAATGAACTCGGTCATCAACAAATTCAGAAACAGTCTCATGCCTGTACGATCTATGATGGCCTTTCAAAAACTCACACACCACAACGTCAGTACTGATCTTCTACCTTTCTCTTATCATTTTTAAACCATTGCTTTGATTGTGTCGAGTCCCTATTCACTTATCCTTAGTAGCCTGAGGAAGATGTCGGAATACGTGGTTCATAGGCTTACCATGTAAAGAGGGACTATAGGAATCCACCGGTCTTTGGGTAAAGGAGATGGCGGAATGTTAGAACTGAAAAACCAGCGCCAGTGAAGAAATCCCGGTGGCGTACGATGAAGAATATAACCATGCAGAATGCCCAGGAACCCGAGAAGTGGAGACCCCTTCCTTGCCCGTTAATGGATGCGACAGGTGGTTCATAGGTGCTGCCTTATTCAAGGTTACTGCTCTCTCTGTATCCCTCTGTGCTAAACGGTTTAGTCAGCGGTAGAGGGTGGGTAAGTGCGGGTACAGCTCTACAGGCGCTGCTGGGCATGCTCTTCCCTACGGAACACACATCGGACCCCTTCATTAGCAAATCCGCCTGCCTTTCGACTTGGTATATTTTACATTCTTCGACCTCCGACCTTTCGTGAAAATCTTTAAATACCCTTCCCCTTCAAAAAGCGAGAAAGTGTCGGGTGCAGACATGCACACACCACAAGTGACGACGGCCTTCACAAAATGTTAATGTTTCTGCCAATGAAATGATTAGCCTGTTGCAGTTGTATTCTATCGATTGTCACTAATTACAACTATCATTTACCAGAAATCAGCTATCACTATGAACAACTTCTAACCAGATTTACTTGGAGGCCGTCGTCAGTTGTGGTGTTTGGTCTGCACCCGACACTTTCTCGCTTTTTGAAGGGAGGTTACATATATACTTCGATATCGGAAGGCTGGGGTAGGCGTGTCACCGGAAGTGACGTGCACTTGATAGAAGCTATAGGATAAGCTGCTTCCAACATACATCGCTGGATATCAGCCAGAGGACACATCCGCTGGCACACGGTTATCCACGAGGCAAACTGCTGCAAGTGCAAGTCACTTCGGTGACCACGTCGCACCTCAACTTTCGCGATACCGACTGTATGTTATCATTTCCTTCCTTCAGCTCAATGGCTAGGGACCAACCACGATCTCGTCCAACTAGTTTTGAATCTGATTCTGACCATTCTGTCCATAGAGAAGTGGTACATAACAACATGAAGTGGTACAGTGAAAACACTATGAAATCCCATTCCAAAATTCGATTCTTTTGATGACGTCTAGACATTGGCGCTGTATATTTCGGCTTAATTTCTTGTTCCTTGATTGCCGTAACGATTCCCAGCTATTTTCTCGAGCTTCCATGACGAGATTTGGGGGTTGAGGCAAAAAAGCGTGACCTTGAACCGTTTCACAGCAGCACGATCTCTAGGAGTTTGGAGACTTGAAAATAGGACAAGTCAAACGGAAACTACATCATAACTAAGGGGGTCAGTGCTAAAATGCAGCGAAGGTCACAATGAAGCTGAGGAAACCTAGAAGAGAAAAGAGTTGGGAGTGATAAAAAGCAGCTTAATCATAAGCAGGTCATGAAGCAGATGTACAGCTAAGCTGACCACCTGGCAGCACAAGCGTTCAAGCATCTTGGTTGGTGACTATTTGTCAGACTGCGCACAGTGAGTCAGAAAGACAGCTGTGATGACACACACCGAGACGTGCGATAGACGTTGTCGAAGGTTTCGCAGAAAACAAAGAAGCTTCATGCCAGCGTTAGATAAATAGCAAGCTCAAGAGGCGGTTTGAAGTAAAACGAAACAATCTTCCCTCTCGAGATATATTTAGGGTGGGAACCTCCCCCACATAGATGCATGCTTCTGTGAGTTCTTTGCCACCCCTGCTTCATTCAAACCCTTTCATCTCTTTGGAGTAGTCAGAAAACCCCATCCTTCTGTTTTAACACAAACTGTCAACCCTACTTGGCAAAACGGAGGCCAAAGCAAAGCTGCTGCGTGTTTGCAGAAGCATTAGTCGCGGTCGCACTAGACACGCGGAGTTTAACGCGTAATTTGTAGATTGGCGAAATTTGATTCGGGTTTATTGTTTCATTCGTCTCACCATGTCTGACGTTATATTTGATGACATGTTTATGGTGAAGAACATTGATCCCGATGGCAAGAAGTTTGACAGATGCTCTCGGCTTTTCTGCGATTCGGAATCATTCAGGTTGGTAATCTAATGACCTGAATAATTTTTTATTTTTATTGGTTCCGTTTATGGGAAGCATTATTTCCTGAAAGTTGCTTTTTTCTTCTGTGTGTAACATGCATATCACATATTACACATACATGTATTTAGTATGGAACTTATATTGGACGTGAACACCCAAATTTATCCAATCAATCTCAATGATAAGTTCCGCTTGATGATCACTACTTCTGTTCGCGATGACGGTATGCCTGATGAGGGAGAGTTTGACCCACTGGTCCGTTTCTTTACCTTTATTTTTACCCATTCCCACTTTTTATTTTTCACCTACTCATGCAGCACTGAGGGGTCTATTCCAGTGAGGGGGCAGTCACTTGACATGCGTGAAAAGCTGGAATGTTCGAGTTTACATTAGCTCGCCGAGAAACTGCATCATGATGCCCCCCCTAACTGGAATAGACCCGCACTGAGTTTCATTGAGCCATTAATTTCTTTGCTAGCCGTAAGCAGGTAAGCGAAAGAGTATGAAAGAATGTCTTTCGCAGCTCAAATTCAGTTGGTAGTTTTGGGTCTATTCCAGTTAGGGGGCATCATGATGCAGTTTCTCGGCGAACTAGTGTGAACTCGAACATTCCAGCTTTTCACGCATGTCAAGTGACTGCCCTCACCCCCACTTCCGTAGGGCGCATTCATAGTCGGTCGTCCGACAGCAGCGATCGTACGACCGACTATGCATGCGCCCGTAGACTGGCTACACTCCTCCTGGCTCGCAGTTATCCTAGCTTT